ACCTTAGAGGTGAAAGTAAAATCCAAACCATACCCATCACACAAGTACGTGAGCGTTTTATAGCAGATGACGGTTCCTTTCTGACAATCGCTCCAATCACTTATTACGAGAGTTTCTTATCAGATTAATAGCTTCCTTCTTTCATTCATATAGACAGAATAGTTTTTCCATGGAGGTCATATTTGTATTGAAGATATGCGTTGTACTTTGTGTTTACTCAGCTTCTGTCTGTAGCTGGTTCTTGTATAATTTTTATTATGCACCTGCATGTACTGTCGTAAAGGAAATGTGTGAAAAAATGCAAACTTGCCCGGGTTCTCGACTTTGCCCTTGTGACAATTATACATGTAGCTACTGGGCTCTTTTCACAAAAATGGCTGTATCAGTTTTGTTGATTTTCTACAAAATTGTTTCACAAGGACACAGAAAGACGAAGATTGAACTAATTGCAAAAAATCTTGGCAGAAAACTTAAGGACAAAAAGTTGCCGTAGCCGGCAAAACAAAATAAGGGGTTAGGTATAAGCATGCCAAAAAATTGCTCATTAAGATTTCAATTGACTATTAATTTTAAAGAGCACCTACAGTTTCAGTTTTTCTCCACATGGAAACCGACGTTTACATCCAAAATCAAATGGTGCAATCATAAACTATGGATTGATCTCTTTTCGTGTTGCACTGTGCAGTATCTGGGACAAAATTTAGCCAAAAACCCTATTTAAACCACTTTTTTTTCCTTACATGTATTAACCTAGTCATTTCCTTGTTTATTGCGCCAGGACGTTTGCAAACCTGCCTGTAGTGTTTATTTATTATTATTTTTTTATAATTTTGTTTCAAGTAAGCTACTGTAGCCTTCAGTGTCATGCTTTGTTTACTTTGACTATCGCGCTGCGTTACTTTGTTGTCACGCTGCTTTACTTTGCTGTCACGCTGCTTTACTTTGCTGTCACGTTGCTTTACTTTGTTTGACACGGTGCGTTACCTTGATCGTCACGCTGCGTTACCTTGATCGTCACGCTGCGTTATCTTGATCGTCACGCTGCGTTATCTTGATCGTTACGTAATGCTGTCCTGTCGACCGCAACTTTTCATTTTTCCGAGGAAAAAGTTGATATTCTTATTGTGTAGCCATCTTTTTTTTTGCAACTGCACGTTTTGATTTTCGTTTTGCTTTATTTTCTTGCAGGTTGCTGAATGGCTACGATGCTACACATCCTGCTGCAAGTCAGGATTGACAGCCAAGAAAGACAGTCATCCAAGACTTAGTTAGAGGTAGACTTGACAAGACTTTGCTTCAAAATTATTTAAGAATCGAGGCTAAAAAATCCTTTTCTGTTCAAGATTCAGTCAGTTTCGTATGTCGAGCACCTTCCCTATTACCATTTTCAATTTTCTATTTTCTGGGAGGTGCAAAATTGACGGGCAATATTACTATCAGTATTAAAATATAGACAGTAAGACTGATCCGTACGGTAGTATGAAGGAGGTGCAAAGGGTTGAAGTTAGAAGCTGGACTAGTACAAAGTAGAAGTTATAATATTGTAACATACGCTTGCCAAGTTTCTGACAACTTGAGTAAGTATTTGATGCAAAATTGTAGCTTTTACTTTGTACCAGTTCAGCTTTTTATTTTCGTTTCTTTTTACTGCTGTACGGATCTTTCTTTCGTACAAGGACGGAGCAATCTTTTTTTTTTGCATTTTCAATTGTCTGGGAATTCAAAATTTCTCGAGATATTTATTTTCAAATCGCTTTTGCAAGAACACTGACAATTCTGTGGAATCAAGACTTTGTTAAACCGTATCTCAAGTGCAATCTTTATTGCGATTACACATTGTTTGTGAACTGAAGTTTATTGTAACAGTAAAAACATTTTCTAAGCCAGTGTTGTCATTTTTAGTAGAAGTTGTTTCCTTGTTAACATCGGTTTGACCGTGCTCAATTTTCCCGCCAAAAGACTTAGAAAAAAATACAGGCGCTCAAAATACGCATGCGCCGTTTTTTTTATTTTTTCGCTATAGTTGCTGTAAGTAACTTCTGTTTAAAAGTTATTTTTCCCGCCAAAAAACTTAGGAAAAATACGGGCGCCCAAAATACGCATGCGCCGTTTGATTTATTTTTAATTGCTAGTTTTAAACTTAAAGGAGTAATTAACAATAAAATATAATTTTGCTTTGTGTCTACTCTATTTCATGTTGTTTATTACTCAATATAATAAGTGAACAAACAGTTTACATTATAATCTTTATTATCATTAATAAAATATTTCAATAATAACAATCAAGTATTAAGAGTGAAAATCACTTTTATTCTCCTCAAGTATTCTCTAATTATAAGTTAATTAGGTGTCATCAAAAAATTTGCCCTATATATACTAAGACTTTTGGCGGGAAAATTTGGAGAAATTTGCACAGCGTTTCCCCTTACAACTTTCTCAGCAAAAAATTCAAAATGGCTTCCCTTACAATTTCCCGCCAAAAATTATTTGAACATTACCTGGTGCACAAAAGTTGAAAGTAAAACGCCAATTTGTTTCCTACCCGTAAAAAAATCCGAAAAAGACATTTTAACCTCTCTTCTAAGCGACGAAATCTCTCCGAAACATTTAAGTTTTTCAAACTCTTTTGCACCAGATGATGTTTCGGATGACAACCTTTTCCCACCTATTCTCGTTTGTAACACAGGACAAATAAAACCAAAAGCGTCAAGAAATGTACCCGTCCTAAACAATCTGTAACAACAGTTACGAAGTTTTGGAGTAATACAGACAATTTCAATTGTTGTTTTCCTGAGAACGTCGAGAAATGTACTCGTCCTAATGAATATGAAGTTTTGGGGTAAAATAAACAATTTGAACTGCTGTTCATTATAGAAATCAGCTCAATGTAATTTTAAGTCATATATATATTTTTAATTCGTATTAACGCAATGTCCTGTGTTACAACGAGCTCTGGTAGCGAAAGGTTCTCATCTGCTTACAGATAAATTTCTCTAAAAACTAACTTATAAAACCCAATTACCTGATCAAAGAGACGCGATTATGTTCTGCAAGTTTAACCCACCCTTATAAAACTCGAACATTTGATTAATATAAAATAATAAATGTTATACGGACCACGATGAACACAACGAAATGAAGGCGAAACGTAACTGCTTGAAATTTATGATGTAATCTTGTTTGCTCGGAAAACATGCTCTCAAATTGCATCATATTTTAAAATTGTAAATCCAAGTTATTCGTTGCAAATCTCTTCCAAAAGACTTGATTT